AAAAAAGGGGAGAAAATAGCAACAAAGAAATGTCGGCATCTCCGTCAAAAAAAATGTGAAAGGGATGAAAAAATTAGAGGTTATTGTTTAAATCATAGCAAAGACAAATGTGCTTAAGCGACGAAATAAAGTGTAGTGCCCATAGGGAATTTAAGTTACTATTATCCATATGCATCATACCTATCCCTAAGCCTACATGACAACCTTGTAAAAGTCCTACATGATTTTGACTCAAAGACTCCTACATTAGTGGAGAACCACATGATAGCCAAGCATATGGCAATTTCCAGTAGCTTGAGGTACTTCTTTGTTAAGAGTGAGTGAATTTTTCTATCTATGACCTTCTTTGTTCTACATCTATATATTGTGTGATATATGTGCATTTCTCTTCATTTGGTGAGACACACTAGGGATTAGGAAATATTATGATTTCAGTTCTCAATAGGTGAATATGAGTACGGTTAAAAGTTGTATGAGCTTGTGAATTGGTCTTAGTTACTTTTTCTTTGGCGAAAGTTCTCATGATTTCGGTTAAATTGTTTAGCTGTTATGTTTAGCTATTTTATTTGCTCGAGGACAAGCAAATATTTAAGTGTGGGAGAATTTGATAAAATAAAATTCCATGTATAAATTAAGTTGTTATTTAATTTTTAGATACTAATATTTTAATTTTCTTTGCAGGAAATATCATAATTTAATAAGAAAATTCATAGTTCATCAATGATGGAGATATCAGACAAGAAAAGTTCAAATACTGAATTATCCAGAGAAAGATTGTATAAATATGATCTACCATGACAAAGGATAACCGACTCACAACCGGCTACAACAAACTATAACCGATCCATAACCAAAGAAGCTCATAACCAAGTATAACAAGGCCACAACCAGCCATGCCAAGTTCATTTCCAGAAGATAATTGAAAACCTTGTCATGGCTTGCCTATAAAGAGGCATCATTCGTGAAGAAGCATGGAGGAAGAAATCTTAGAAGTGAAATATTGAGCAGAAAGCTTTTCCTTTCTCTTTGTTCTTTAGTTTTATTTCTTTTTCTTCTTTTTGCCATTATACTGGCTTCATTTCTAGTTCCGAATAAATTGTAGTATTGGAAATTACTCTAGTTCCTGCTTTTTATTAAATAGGGGGAATTATTCTCTTGAATTTTTTTTATTTTCTTATTTAATGGGCAAGATTATTTCCGTTGTCGGTATTGGATCCAATATGGAGTAACTTTTCTTGTGTTGAGAAAATGACGGATCTTAATATTTTTATATAATAGTAGATATTATTCCTCAATTTCACATACTTGAGTTGAAGCTTTTTATTTAAATTTTATCTGCTTTATAGTTGGATATTATTTAATTTGTTAACATCTATCTATTTAGTACTACATATTAACTTCTTACTAATTTTGTAATCGAAAGAGGCAGATGAGGTAATAGTTAATTTTGGTATTGATAGATGTTAACCTATATTTAGTGACATCTAGCTCTTATATGTTAAAATTGATTCTACACTTATTTGTAATCGAAAGAGGCGAATGTTGTGGTAATCAGTTATAACAAGTAGGGTAACCGAAAGGGACTTACTAAAAAAGAGCATGCTTTAGTTCAAGTATATATTTCTGGTTCTTTAATATTATCATTTTGACAATTAATTTGTATAACCGAGAGGAGTGCACTTAATTGTTCAACTATAGTAATAATATATAAATGTAATCGTGAGAGACATTTATACATTTATGAGAAATAGAAGTTGAAGACTAAATGTATTTACTATATAATAAAAAATATTAAGTGAAGTCAGGATCCCAACACCTTTTTATATTTGTGAAAAATAAAATATTTTCTATTGCTCCATTCGTGCATTTTTTAGTTAGTTAATTTAAACCTCAACTCTTTCTGATTTTCTCAAATAGTAACTAAAACAAGAAACATCTGTAGAATAGATAAACCAATCTTTGTGGGTTCGATATCTTTTTATACTATTATTTGACAGAGTACGAGTTAAAATTTTATATATGCTAGACATTCGCCAGCAACTAAAATCGTGACCAAGATTACTTCGAGAACCAGCGAAAGTATTGTTGAATTATGGAGTGACGCGTGTTCGGGGCATTAAATGCGAAGAGACGTGCATCTAATCAAGTGTCAGAAACTTTTCAGAGGGGATCAAAGGATTTTTTGCCAAGAAGGCTATCTTCACCAACTTCTCGATGACACAAGGATGTGCCACTGGAAAGCAGAGGAAGTATCTGTATAGGGTAAAATCAGTTCATATTATATACTCGCATAATAGAGTGACATGTGAAACCGGAGACAGACGGAAGGTGAGACAGGTGGAAACCAAGACCGGAGGTAGCAGTTTCGGTTGACACCGCAAAGCTCCCGAAGGGAATATTACTAATAAAAACAAATGAATGTCTGCCACCCAATAGCATTTAATGAAAAATATTCTGCAATATTAAATACACAATCCGCTATAGAGAATTATGGCATTCATAGCATGCCGTTACACATTCTTCAATGACCCCCATAATTGTCATTTAAGATGGGCTTAATCATAGGACCTTATTTCCTAGGTGCAACTAAAAATAGTGATTTTAACAGCCATTGTAAGGGGACGAATTTTCTGACAAATCTATGCCATATACTATTCAAAAGATCAATAACATTTTATTTCTTGCTTATTAAGATTCATATTGCTGCTTTCAGAAGCTCTGCTCCCGGAACCAGGCTATTTACTGTTTTATCTCGATTTCAACGTTAAGTTTTGTATTTTATTTAATTTATTTATCACTTTTGGGATCAAATCGATTCACTTGGTTATAAACCATGATATAAATTCAACTCTACCGTTTTATGAGTAAATATGTGTAAAGTAAATTTTAAATATACTCCTACAGTTTAAAATAAAAATAATTACTCCACGTGTTTCAAAGTGGATATTTTAGTTTACAACGAATACGTGTATAACCAACCATCTGCGAACATTTTATCTTCTTTCTTGAAATTTCTAAAGAAAGAGAAGAAGTCATTTGCTCATATTTGACTGTTAAGTGTCTTTTCAGTAACAAAAGTAGATTAACCAATCCATCTTTTAAATATTTTGCATAAAAAAAATATTACTTTCTCCATAGAGATGCACGTTAAAACTTATAGCAAATCACAAAGATTCTCAATTTCTCATAACCTCAAAGCGATTGATTACATTCTAATAACGGAGAAAAAAATTTATTTCCATATTCAGTCACCCATTCAAGAGCATTTGATTTCAGAACACTTTCTTCTTCTTATTTTACCAACTTAATTCTCACGGTAATAATTGTGCCATGTATTCTCACGTAAAGTTATAACCCTTTAGGGTTAAACTACTTAATCTGCAATGGGATGAGAAAGGAAAGCTTCATTTGCAATAACTTATTCTATTAGAAGGCGTATCAAATGTGACATCAGGATAAAATTTATCTCACCAAGTTGATCTTTTACTGCTACATGCAAAATGAACCCGTTATATCCATTAAATGGTTAAAAAAAAAACTTAAATAATCGTCTACTTAACCATTTAAACTAAAAATTATTGACGTATTATACAATAAAGAAAAAGTAACTATTTTTATCAGTTGGGGCAACATTCCTACCAAAATTGTGTATATATTTTACCTTCTTATCCAATTTAAGCGACTTTGTATATAACTTAAAGTTTCTTTTTCGAGAGAGCTATAGGAAAAAGCCACAAGTGGACACTACTTACCAACAATTAGCCATTAAGTCAGACAACTAAAAATGCAAAAAAGGATTTTTTTTGTTTAATGAGTATGGTTGAAATTTGTTACAAACTCATAGATGAGGCAATATATAAAATTTAAGCAAGATTGGAGATAATTTGGACTAGTTTGGACTAAAAATTCGATATCCATGATATAGTACATCAAAAAACTAGGTAAAAAAAAAAGTTTTTTCCTCAATGAGTATGATTAGAATTCGTCAAAAAGACATACATCCCGTAAATTTAACAACCTTGATACCGATAAATATATATTTGATAGGGTATTTTGAGTGGAATATTTTTGTGAAGAAAAAGAATATATAGTTTGAAAAATATGATTTTATATAGTTATTAATATTACTACTTTCAATTATACACATAATATAAGAAAGTTTATGAGATTTTCTTTATTGTAAAGATATAAATTATTTTTCACAAGAAAACTAGATTAGTGTGACTACTAAATGGTATATTTGTTTAACACTCACTAAAAAATTATTTTGTATTTTGTGCCTTAATAGATAAATTTCTAGTAATAGATAAATTTCTTACCACAAGAACTTTCATAATCCATACCAATAACAACATGTGTTAGACATGCCACAACCTATTCTCACTTCCAAAAATAACCTGTCCTAGCTAGATATTCGTATTAAACGTTATACAGTTTAAATCCACCTAAACGTTTTGGAAAAATTAATTGAGTTGTGTTCGAATTGTATTTCCCTAATCATAATTTGTCCGACCATTCTTCAACATCAGTCGTTCGAAACTCTAAATTTGGTCAGTCCAAAATCTACTTACCACTCCTATGGAAATTGTTCAGATATGGAAGATTTCAAAAGTGTTAAGAAATTAATGAGATTAAGAAAATTATAAGTTGAAAAAAATATATGTATTTTTACATGGATGTTTTAATGAAATAATAGTGTATGAATTAATTTTATATGCTATCACATGATCAATATAGTCAAGTATATTATAGTAAGGTATATAAAATGTATTAAAAGTAAGTAATATTTTAAGTAATTTAAAATAATTCTTAATTGTGCGGATAAATCTGTAATTATCTAAAATGATTGGATAAGAACATCACGTGGCAAGCTAGCCACGTTCTAAGACCATGACTCTTAGAAAACTTTCATTAGGTGGCAACCAAGTTAATAAATCAAGGACACTTCATTCTTTATATTATTATACAATCCCTACAATCAGATAAAAAGTTTGGAACCTTAACAACGAGAATTCTGAGAAAAGCTACAAAATTTCTACAATTTCAGTTGCTATGTTTCTGATCCTCCAACACTACAAATCCTAAAAACATCTAAACTTAATATAGGGAATACAATCTTTTCACCCCATTAATGATAGTAATATCTGTTGTGCACCTACTGCAGTTAGTAGGCTTCTTCAAGGTTGCTTCCTTTTTCACGTTGATTGAATGCACTGTTGGAGCTAATAGTTAAAATGGTCTTGGTAATGCACATAGTCAAGTAATGAATTAGTTTCTTTGAAACATGAAGCTAGTTTATTGAAATAGGAAGCTGCACATTGTCAAGTTCGGAATAACGTGTTAGAAATTACCAAAACCACCTCAGGGGAATCATATATATGTAGGTTGTGATTGATCAGGGGAATCATCCCAGGTATGTCAAGGCTATCCCTTCCTTTCTTTTGGCATGATCCAAATAATACAAATGAAACGAGAAAAATATGTAATTTGCATAAATGACTCTATTCATAGAAATACTAGGGGTGTCTATATTCTTGATATCCTATGTGAATTATTATTCTATCGTCTATTCATGGGTCTCAGAAAAATACGTATTTGATAAAGTTTATCCGAAAGGCATATTGATTTTTATGGCATTCCAAGAAAGTCTTATTAACATATTTCATATGCATTTCATGCATTTATATATGTACGTTGACCCATGACCAGACGACGTTATATACACGTATATGTGTATATTATATTTATATGGGATATGAAAAAAGGTTACGGTGTTATATACGCACCACCACCCTATCAGCTGGTGTACGTTGATGATTTGCCCACAGTGGTCGAGTTGATATGATGGGATGCCCTCAGAGGCATGATGATGTTATGACGTTATATATGCGTATATATATATATATATATATATATGTATATGGGATATGGGAAAGGTTATGGCGTTATATACGCACCACCACCTGATCAGATGGTATACGATGATGATTTTGCCCCCAGTGACTGAGATGATATGATGGGATGCCCTCAGAGGCTTTATCATGTTACATACATACAGACCTATGCATTACATAACATTCATACGCATATGCATGACACTATAAGTATTTCATGATTTACAGAGTCATCCAGACTTACCGGTTAAGTCAATTACTTTATATTTCTTCCATGTCTTTAATTAATGTTGACTTATTATTATGTTTTAGTTCTGCCTTACATACTTAGTACATTATTGGTACAGACGTCCTTTTGTTGGGGACGCCATATTCATGCCTGCAGGTATAGACAATCAGTTTGACAATCCCTCACAGTAGACGAGGTTTGCATTCAGCGAAGGATCGGTAAGACTCCACCTCATTCGGAGTGCAGCCAAGTCTATGAATCATCATATCAGAGTTTTTGCTTCAAACTTATAGGTAGGCTGGTACCCTGTCCCATTTGATGTCAAATAATCTTAGAGGCTTTGTTGACAAAGGTTCAGTTTGTACAGTATGTCAGAGGCCTTGACGGCCCATATATATTCATGTTTTAAGAAAAATAGTTCAGCGATACAGTATTTTCCACTTACAATTTTATATTATGAGTTGTGGTCATGTTGTCCCATGATAGTTATAAAAAGAATGAATGAGTTACAGAGTGGTTCGCTCGGGCCACTACGGCATTGGGTGCCAGCCACGCCTCCCTAGGTTTGGGGTGTGACAAAGTGGTATCAGAGCAGTTCTATCCTGGAGAGTCTACAAAGCCGTGCCTAGTAGAGTCTTACTTATGGATATGTTGCGCGCCACATTTATAATTGAGAGGCTATAGGGCATTTAGGAAATATTACCCTTCTTTTGTTTCTAGATTGTGCCATAGAGCTGAGTCGTAAGAAGTGAGTATGAAGTTATCGCAAAATATTGTATGCACCAGAAGTGCAGGTATCACTGTAGAGCTTTAAGGCGTAATCTGGAAAATGAGGTTACGAAAGAAATAGAAGAAACGATGCGAGATTGAAAAGTAAGTAAGGTAAATGTGAAGAAGATACAAGATACTCAAATACAAAAAGTTGTGAATAGTCGAGACTTTGGAAATAGTTTGGGTTTTAAGTTTAATTTACAGAGGAGACCCTAGTAAAATTTTTGCAAATCTCTAAAAGTTAACATTCGAGGACGAATGTTCTAAATGGGGGAGGGATGTTACACATTGCGAATTTAACAACCTTGATACCGATAAATATATATTTGATAGGGTATTTTGAGTGGAATATTTTTGTGAAGAAAAAGAATATATAGTTTGAAAAATATGATTTTATATAGTTATTAATATTACTACTTTCAATTATACACATAATATAAGAAAGTTTATGAGATTTTCTTTATTGTAAAGATAGAAATTATTTTTCACAAGAAAAATAGATTAGCGTGACTACTAAATGGTATATTTGTTGAACACTTCCTGAAAATTTATTTTTTATTTTGTGCCTTAATAGATAAATTTTCTAGTAATAGATAAATTTCTTGCCACAAGAACTTTCATAATCCATACCAATGACAACATGTGTTAGACATGCCACAGCCTATTCTCACTTCCAAAAATAAACTGTCCTAGCTAGATATTCGTATTAAACGTTATACAGTTTAAATCCACCTAAACGTTTTGAAAAAAATTAATTGAGTTGTGTTCGAATTGTATTTCACTAATCATAATTTGTCAGACTGTAAGGACCCGGCCGGTCGTTTCATGAGTTACCGCTCTGTTTCCCCCATTTTTACTTCTTATTGCCTTGTTCAGCTGTATTTTGTATTATCGGGTTGGTTGGCTTGGGTTGGGAGAGGTTTTGGTAAGATTTGACACACTTAGTCTCTTTTGAGAAAGCTTAAGTTGGAAAAGTCAATCGGATGTTGACTTATGTGTTAAAGGGCTCGGATTTGAGTTCCGATGGTTTGTATAACTTCGGGAGGTGATTTGGGACTTAGGAGCATGATCGGAAGGTGTTTTGGAGGTACAGAGTAGATTTAGGCTTGAATTGGTGGAATTGGAATTTTGGCATTTTCCGGTTGATAGGTGAGATTTTGATATAGGGGTCGGAATGAAATTCTGGGAGTTGCAGTAGGTCCGTTGTGTCATTTGGGATGTGTGTGCAAAATTTCAGGTCATTCGGACTTGGTTTGATAGATTTTTGATTGAAAGCGGAATTTGAAAGATTTTGAAATTCTTAGGCTTGAATCTGATGCAAATTTGGTGTTTTGATGTTGTTTTGAGCGTTCCAAAGGTTGAAACAAGTTTGAATGAGGTTATGGGATATGTTAGCTTGTTTGGTTGAGGTCCCGAGGGCCTCGGGTGAGTTTAGGGTGGTCAAATGGACCATTTCATGTTGAAAAAGATTACAGAAAAAACTGTTGTAGTGTTGCAGACAGTAGTGCTTCGCGTTCACGAAGTTGGCCCTCGCCTTCGCGGAGGGCTAGAATGTGAGGCTGAAGGTTTGGCCTTCACGTTCGCGAGGGAGGTCCCGCATTCGTAAAAGGTTGGGGTCATCAAGCTACGCGTTCGTGAGAGGGGAGCCGCGTTCACGATGCACTGGGAAGCTGAGCCTTCGCGTTCGTGAGAGGGGAGATGCGTTCGCGAACAAGGAAAATTGGTCAGCTCAAATTTGAGCTTCACGAACGCGAGGCTTTGACCGCGTTCGCGATGAAGGATTTTTAAGTGCTGGGCAGAATGTTTAAAAGACCCATTTCCGCGATTTTGGGTCTAAGTTCCTCCATTTTTGGATGATTTTGAAGCTTTTTGAAGAGGATTGAAGAGGGAATCAAGGGGAACACTTGGAGATAAGATTTATGGACTTAATACTCGATCCAAATGTGATTTCTACCTAATTAATCATGGAAATTATTGAATTTAAGCCTAAATATTGAAGAACTAGGGCTTGTAATTGGACACCAAAAATTAGGGATTTAAGGGATCATTTGTGGTTGGATTTTGGTGATTTTGATATGAACTCGGGGAGTGATAAGGAGTCTATTGATGTAATTTTTATTGGAATCTGAGACGTGGGCCCGGGGGTCGGGTTTGGCCAATTTCGGGATTTGGGTTGTAATTTGATTTCTTTCGAGTGGACTTTGTTCTCTTAGCATATATTGATGGTTTTGCACTCAATTTGGTTAGATTTAGAGCATCCGAAGGCTAATTCGAGGGGCAAAGGCATCGCGGGCTAGAGTTTGGACCGGATAGAGGTGATTAATGATTGTAAATGTTGTCCTGAGGGTATAAAACCCCGGATTTCACATCGTTGTGTTATATTGAGGTGACACACACGCTAGATGACGAGTGTGGGTGTCACGACCCCAAACCAGCCCGGTCGTGATGGAGCCTCTCGTGAGGACAAGGCCAGCCGACACAACACTCACATTAACCCTTTAATCATTAAGAGTCATCTTTTAAACCTTTAATTAGAACAATGTTTCATAATATACGTCTGAAAGAATAATGCAGAATTAATATACAAGCCCGACATCGGGGTGCCACTAGCCATGAGCATCTACCAAGATCTGAATACAACAACAATAGTAAAAATGTACTAAGTACGGAAATGAAAGTGAGAAGGAAGAAGCAGTGTTGCGAACGTCATGCAGCCACCTTGCTAACTCTGATGATTCCACGTCCGAGCAACCAGCACCCGCTACCGGGTTCCGAAATACCTGAATCTGCACACGAGGTGCAGGGAGTAATGTGAGTACACCAACCCAGTAAGTAATAAGAGTAAATAAAGACTGAGTAGTAAGAAATAATGAATCCACATTTACGTTAGGCTCAATAAGCACAACAGGCTTTCAAATCATAATACGAGTCAATCTTCCCATTTAAAAATCCAGCTTCTAAAAAATCACTTTTAAATACCTTCCAGCAGTTTCAGTAAGGGTACAATACCAATTAAAATAATAAAAGAGATTAAAGCCATAATTGGCCCCTCGGGCAAAACATAGTCATAAACACTTCATAACTTGAAAATCTCCGCGGAAATAACCAATGCCAAATCAGTGATTAAATTTTGAACATCTCATAAACCCCAGTTTGAATGAAAGTTGTTTTAAAAACATTTATCTAACATTTTTGACAGAGGCTCAATATAAGGATGAATGAAAACAGTCATTAAATCAACATATTCAATGGAAACTCACTCTAAAGAGAAGTGAAAATCAATAAGTTCATAATCAGGCCCCTCAGGCAAACATCACTCATGTACATGTATGTATCTATCGCCACTCGGGCTAGCCTCTCAGTCACTCATGACTCAACTCATGCCAATCAGCGCTCTCACTTGGCACTCACGCTCAATAGGTACCATATAGTAACCACTGCGGTGTGCAGCCCGATCAATATATCTCGTCAACGATGCTCATTGGGGGTGTGCAGACTCCNCGACGTGCAGCCCGATCCATAGATATATAATCCTCACAACTAGGCCCTCGGACTCTCTTAGTCATTAACCTCACCATCAGACTCTCAGTCTATCTCAGTGATCAATCTCACAATCAGACCCTCGGTATATCTCAGTCATCATCTCACGATCACTCGGACCATCAATAAAACAGGGAACTCAGCCCAAAACAGTTTCCACATTTTTAAGAATATAGTGATAAAGCCAGATTTGAGCAGTAAACAGGTAAAACATGACTGAGGATATGCTTTCAAACAAATAGAGTGAGGAAAGATAGTAAAAATACCACTAAGGGTCTCAACAAGTCGGCACAAGGCCCCAAACATGGCATACAACCAAAGTATAATAACATCAAACAGTTAACTATCAAATACGCATTAAAATAGTCGTTCGGGATGGATTAGGTCACAATCCCCAGCGGTGCTCTACCCACGCTCGTCATCTAGAGTGTAAGTCACCTCAAAGTAACACAACGATGAGTAATCCGGGGTTTCAAATTCTCAGGACAGTATTTACAATCATTACTTACCTCGAACCAGCTAAATCTCTAGCTCGCGATGCCTTTGCCCCTTAAATCAGCCTCCACGCGCGTCGAATCTATCCAAAATCAGAACGAATACGTCGCAATATTCTAATGGAACAAGCCCAAGCGAAAACAATCGGAAAATACCAAAAATCCCAAAATTAGCAAAAACCCGAGCTCTGGTCCCACTTCTCGAAACTCAGAAATTTTCATATCATTAAATTCCTTATCTCCCCACAAGTTCATACATATCAAAAGTTTTCAAATCCGACCCCAAATGGTCCTTCAAATCCCAAATCAAAAGTCCAATTTCTCAAACCCTAGTTCTTCAATTTTAGGCTTAGTTTTCATGATTTTCTAGGTGGAATTCACATAATAATTGAGTATTGAGTTCAAAAATCTTACCTCCAGGTGATTCCCCTTGGATCCCTCTTCAATTAGCTCTCCCAAGCTCCAAAATCGCTCAAAAATGGAGGTTCTAAACCTCAAAATCGCGGAATAGCCTTTTTAAAACATTCTGCCCAGCACTTAAAAATCATTCTTGGCGAACGTGGTCAAAGCCTAGCGTTCGCGAAGCACAAAAATTCTGTTGACCAAATTTCCACTTCGCGAACGCGATGCCTCACCAACCTACGCGA